GAGGGGTCCCAGACTGCGAGAGGGCACAGGATGGGCTGAGGGCCCCCCTCTCCCCCCCGAGTGCACAAATTTTTGTGCACCGGGCCTCTAGTATGGCTCTCTCTACCTTTGCCCAAATTATTTCCTTGCATTGAAGCATCCTTTACCTGTTTCCTTACCTGGCAAACTCCTGCCCACTGTCAAGATTCCTGGAGCAGGCCTATGCAAACCATCTGTGTATTTCAACCTCCCTCTCTGCATTCCTCTTATAGTGGTTACCTGTCCCAATGTCTGACACTTCCAACCATACAATGAACTCTAAGCTCCTTAAGGAAAAGGCAGGCTCTCCATCTCTTTAAACCCTGATATTCAGTCTGGGACCCAGCCTGGCCCATAATATCTGCTACAATACTACTTGCTCACTGAATGAAGGAAGAAATGCCAAAATGTTATTACTTATATAAAATGATACCAAATGCAGGAAAAAGGAAAGCATTGGTCCCAAACACAGGAAAGTCACTTAGAAAACAGGTTCATTTGCTTGACTGGTTAAGAATAACAGAATATAAATATCTGAGCAGTGAGAAAGGGGAAGAAGCCCCAGATTACCTTTGTAGAAATATTTGTTACAGGGAAGGCAGCCCTACTTCTCCCGTGGCCCAAAAATAGGAGTGGCCTGCATATTTCTCTAGGCAGAGGAAGGAGCCACTGAAGAAGGAATTGCAAATCCAGCCAATCATTCAATAAGTGGTTACTGAATGCCAAACTGCTGGGTAGGCCCTCAGGAAAGAATGAGATGACACCCTAACAATAGTGGGGTGAAACAGACAATAAATATGGACTCTGAAGAAGAAACCAGGGTAAGGGGAGAGAGCACCAAGAGGAGGGGGCCTGTTTTATACAGGGAAGGCATTTGAGAGGCCTAAAGGAAGAAATAAAGCATGAGGATATCTAGATTAAAAGCAGTATAGGCTGAGGCTACAGCAAGGAGCCTCTTGGGCTCTTCGGGAAATAGTAAGGAAGTGAGTGTAGATGGAGCTCAAACAAGCTATAGCAAAGGAGAGAATGGTAAGAGAGGAGATGAGGTAAAGTAGGGGAGATGAGGATGGGAGAGGAGATGGGGGAGAAAAAGAGTTCAGTCTTTACTCAGAGTAATCTTGACGTCTTTCCCTTTCTTGTACATTCCCACTCTTGATACTCTAATATGTGTTTCTATTCAATAGATGACATTGCTTTCTAAGGAAACTGTTCTGGAGTATTTTAAGCAGAGAAATGAGCAGGGTAATCATTCTAACTGTTGTAGCAAACAAAGACAAGTTTGGAAGCCCAGAGGAAATTTACACCAATCCCAGCAAGATAAAATGGTGACATGGACTGGTGTTGAGCAGTAAGAAGTAGTCAGATTATGGGAGGGTGAG